TTAATTCTTTCAAAACATTCTACTTTAAAAAAAGCCTAATTTTTTTTCAGGTTATGAAGGCAATAATACTGATTGAAACAATTTTGTATACAAAAAAATCCACAAAGAAGAAAATAAAAATTATCTGTAACCTCACCACCCAAAGAAAATCACTTTGAACACTTAGATGTAGTTCCCTCCAGTAATCTTCTATGTGTACGTGTATACATAAAATGATTCTTACTGTCATATTTAGTTTTCTAAAGGATTTAAACAATATCTTTTAGAGGCAGATAGAGGAGACATTTTTATTACAATTTAAGTGATTATAAAATTGGAACCCAAAGATACACATCTAATTAATGGTAGGGCTAGGACTAGAACCTATGAATCTTGTCATAGCACCAAACTCCTGTCGCTCCCCAAGAGGTTTCCTAATTAGACAGTGCTCCTCTTACAAGAAGAAACTGTGCAATGGCCAGCATCAACGGGACATGGGTTTATAACTGGATGTTCATCCTCAGGAAAGGGACAGATTTAAACTGATCCTCTGTCCATGTCATGGCTGTTCAGCAAAAAGGCACTGTCTAACATTTCAAAGGGAGATAAGGATGGAGTACCTAGGGTTTTATCCCTGTGATAGGCTAACAAGTGAAGCTAGGCAGCCACCATTAAGATGCAGAGTTTCTTTCTAATAGCCAAACAACATTTGAACAGTGGCGGATTGGCTCTGAGTGTGTTTCTATGCGAACCACAGCCACAAGTTTGATCCCACTACGGACTAGTGAGCTGCATGCCAATCCATGACCACTGACTGTATTCCAGAACAATGTACACAGCAAGTGTTCAGTAAGTGTGCATTGAGCTGAATTGAATGTTTATTATTATTCATCAGGGACAGTCAGCAAGAAAGAATGTTGACAGCAAATATAAATATCCCTACCACTATGCCCAGTGTAGAAAAGGCTATCCAAAGTGAACTAGCTTTCTGTTTGATTCTAAGTAGAGGACTACATTGTAATCCCTCAAACACAAACACACACCAGATTGTTAGCTCTACAGATGAGGGAACCAAATCTTATTTATCTGCATGTCCCCAGAATACCTAGCCTAGAGCCAGGCACATTTGAAGTGTCAATGTTTTTTGAATTGAATTATATTTGCTAGACTGGTGTGGGAGTTAAGAAGATGTTGACTAGTAATTCACCATTCCTTTCCCTGAAAGCTCTGTAAATCAAGCTCTTAAAAAAAGCAGCAAGCTAAATTCCAAAACCCTCTCTTAGGAGAAATGCCCATGGCTGGTGGGGTCTGGACTATGTCCACTGAATGTGCAGATCTCTTCTGCACAAACATCCCTTATTCCCAAGGGAGACCACGACTGGCTGACAGGCTGTGGAGACTCACACGTTCCCGCTTTCCCAATGGCAAGGGGTGGGGGTCTGGGGAAAGGGGTGGGAGTCAAGTAATGAAGAACTGCTGAACTCAATGTTCTTCTCTTCTCAGGAGAAGGAAAATCTCGCAATAGGAGGAGAGTTGGCACTTTTCTAGAGGAAAAGCCATAAAGAACATGGGATGTAGTTGAAAATGACCTTTTCTGAAGGCAAGTATCTTTTTTAAAGGTCTACCTTCATATTCTCTCTTGCCTTAGATTGGAGTGGCACTGCTGGAATGGCCTTGGCAGAGCTGGGCTGGAATCCTACAAACTGGGATCAAAGTTGACTGGGTGGGTAGAGGGCGAATGTGGGATATGGGTTGAGGAGCCATTAGGCTAAGACCCTCATAACAACATCAACAGGAAAAAAACAGTATTTGCCAATAGGATCCTTTCCTGAAATGCACTGAGCTGAATTTGAAGGAACAGGAATAGAAAATGGTGATTTTTCTGGGAAGCAGAAACACAATTTACTAATCCCCTAAACTCCTAATGAACGCTCTTAAAGATTTAATCACAATGTAAAACCCACAGTTTTTTATTGGCAATGGTTGGGTATCAACTGTATAACTCTCTGAGGTAGCAATCAGTATGATTCCAGGTCTGTCTCCATCACACATCCCAGGGTCTAGTGGTAAGGTCTGGAAGATTGGTGCCCTAATCTAGCCTAGTAAATTCTTTCCAGGAGACTTAGGACACACTCCCTCAGCTGTCAAGTTCCCTACTTATCAGGTGCAGAATTTACTAGCACAAAGAAAGATAAAAAGACAGCCTGCTATCTTTTTAAGTGTTTTTACATACAGTTTCTTTATTAGAGCTTGGTGTTTTTGGAGCTACACCTGCCCACATCATTTGAGCCTTTGTGCTAAATCAGTAGGACTTGTTAGCTTCCCATGAACCTCTGTGTTGCTACCACCTACCCACCAAGGTGTCTTGTGCTACGCTTATGTCACATGCATTAACTGTCGTCTGGGGAGAACAAAGCCATGAGAACTTGCATCTTTAACTCACACACAGCTGTGCAAAGGTACACAGAGAGTTGATATGGAATCCAGGTTTGTGCAGCTCTGGAAATCAAATCTGTCTAGTCACCTAAAGACCATCTTTTTCTAGCCTAGGTTTCTTCTCTGAAATTCCTCAAGATGCCTGCTTCCATCTCCACATCCAATTCTGAAACAAACAGTGGCCTCAGATCACAGCACAGATACCAAGGAGAGTACTGCAAGAAACAGTGGGGCACAATGAAAAGAAAATGACAGTTAGAACTGAAAACCTCTGAGAGTGCCAGCTCTTACCACTTGTCTGACCTTGGGTAGGTCACTTCAAAGAATACTAGTTTCTCTTCAGCAAAGTAAGTATAAACAGTGATGCCTATCTCACTAGGCTCTCCTCAGAGCAATTATGACAAAGTGCATTTATCTTATTTATGTGTTTATATACTTCCCATTTCTCAGTATGCTTCAATAGACTATAAGCTCCAGGAGTTCAAAGACCTTGTCTTTTTGGTTCGGCACAGTGGCTCACTGTCAGGAAGTGATCAGCATGTAGCGCATGAGCAAGAGGAGTGAATGAGATCTGAATGTGTGAAGGAAGGAACAAAGGAAGGAAGGAAAGATGGGAAAAAGGAAGGGCCGAGAGAAGAAAGGAGTGTTCGGAGTATTATTGATGTGTGGAAAATGAAAGTGGTCTGTAAATTATTATCCATATTATTAAAATATATATAACTAATATTTAGTGCATTAATTATACCAGGGTGAGCTTTAAAAAATGTAAGGTAGATCATGTTACTTCCCTGCAGGAAATCTTCCAATGGCTTTTCATACTACTTACAATAAAAGTAAACTCTTTTCAGCGTTCAAAGCCCCGTGAGCTGACCCGGGCTGTCTCTTGTCCAAGCAGCCGCCCTCTTCCCTGCCAGGCCCCCAGCACTCTTGTGTTCTTGTGTTTCCTCAAACATGCCAACTCTGTTCCTGCCTCGGAGCCTTTGTGCTAGCCCCTTCCCCTCCCTGCCTGAAAGCTCTTCTGCAAAATCTGCATGTCTGGTTTCTTCCTGTCACTGGGCTCTTGGCTCAAATGTCACCTTCTCAGAGAAGCCTTCCCTGTACATGAGCTCTAAAGGAGCCCTGCTGACCCCCTCTTACAGTACTCCATTATCTGTGTATCCACTTAGCCGCTACTTGTCTCCTCCCCAGTGCCTGGTGCTCAATAAATATTTATATTTGTGTGACATTATATTTGTTCAGTGCTTACATTTCATAGATGCTTTTCTAATTATTATTTTGTTTTATCTCTATGAGTTTATGAGTTCAAATCAAACAACGAACAAACAAACAAAAACTCCTGTGGTTCCAAACTGGAAACCCCCTCTCCATCCCTCTGTACCCGAGCCCCAAACACACGTGGAGAGAGAGGTCTCCTGGCCCTGTGAATAAAAGCAACTGTGCCAGTCAGCTTTAGTATTTGTGATTTAACTGGAGTCATGTATGATCAGGGATAAAATAATTGCTTAGTACTCTGAACTAGAGGGATTCTTTTGAGACATGGAAATGATGCTGTTGGGTGCCAAGCTGCTCTATGTTCTGGGCTCGGAGGCCTCCTGGCTCAGGGCTGGGCTGGGGCGGGATGGTGAGAAGAACAGGGAGTGTGATAAAAATGGGCAAAGGGAAACAAATGGCAGGAACGTCACTGGTTCCAGTTGGTTTGTTTACTGTGGACCTCAGGGCAGCACTAACTCTGTAGGAAGTGCACGGGACCAGGGCACAGGGACAGGTGCTAGTGCTGGCTCTACATGCTCCCTCCTCCCACCCCGGGCCGTCAACCCCTCTGTCACATGAGGTGGAACTGAATCATTTCTAGCTCTGATACTATGAGTTAATGAGAGGACTCTGACGTTTTATCATGACCAAGAAAGACGTCTGTGAGAAGGGTAAACTACTTCTGATAAGCACAGCTTTTCTGGACTAAGTGGGATTTCTTTGACTGGTTAGTAAAGTCACTGGACAAACCCAGATCTCTGCCTTTGCCATTCTTCTTTAGCTTTCCCTTCCCTTCCCTTTGCTCTCTCAGAGAAGGGGATGCCCTGGGAAAATCCCCTCGTTGTCACAGAGGGATCAGCATCCACTTCAGCCACTCTCCAAGGGATGCGTTTCTACTGTATCCGATCTTGGCCAACACTCTCCCATCTGTTTTCAACATGTTGCATCTGACATTAACTAATGTCTCCTATTAGCATTAAAAGAAAACAATGTGGAAAAATTCTCTCTCAAGCAGAGTTCAAACAGGCCACAAGTAGATGTGGAATCTCAACTGCACAAGGTTAAAATAATAGAGGTAAATAAATATGTAAATATATAAATGTATATATGTGTATATGCATAAACGCATATGTACATATGTGTGTGTATATACTGCGGTGTGTGTGGGAAGTGAAGCCAAAAGTCTGTAAAATGGGCCAAGAATGCTTCTGTTCAATTTATGAAATTAACTGGTAACAGAAGGAGAAGAAAACTTCTCTCAATGTGGAACAAGGCACAATCAAAAGAACTGAAGGACATGGAAAAGGAGTTGGGAATCTTTATCTTACACTTACTGGTAATGGGTTAAAATTCTGGTCCACGAGGTGATTATATCCATGGTCAAAAAATGAGTGTCGTATCACAACATCAATGCCCTGATTGGCCAGCATTCCTAAAGTGTTCAACCACCTAAAAAGCAGGGAAAGAAAGCTACATCAATACATTTTTTTAAATGGCATATAATGAGCTCTATAGAAATTGGCTCACATACACACCAACCCCCTACACCCACCAAATTTACCTAGTAATTTAAAGGAGAGGATTATTTTAAGCAATGAATACACAGACGGAAGAGACTTTAGAGATGATCAAATCCAATGTCTTCATTTTATAAGAAAAGAAACAGATTCAGGGGAGTAAAATGAATTGTCTTTGGTCATTAGCTTGTTGTTAGCGACTTATCTTTTATTCCTATAATACTAACACATAAATAAACACCCTAGCCATTTGTAAGCCTAAAGTCATCCCCCCGACCACAAGACACACAATCACAGAAGCACACACACTATATTTTCCATCACTCAAACACCCTGCTTCACCTATTCACTGTACCTGTACCTTTCATGTGACTCTAACCCACATACTCCCATGACCAATGCAAGAGTGGTCCAGTCACTTGTATCCCTCACATACCACTGTCAGTATTCAGTGCAATAGTAATTTCCTTGGCACTATAACTAACTGTACAGGGATCGGAGTATGCTACTCTCATACACATGCTGCAATGGAGGACCTGCATTGCTCACACACTTATCACATACCCCACCATGCCAAACACCCATTCTCCAGGGCATGCTAGCTTCAAAAATACTGCCCTTGTGATTCTTCCGACACCCACTGCTAACTCTGCCTTCATCATTTACACGTTTAATTCAGTCATTCATTCATGAATTGATTTCCTTTCCTGTCTTTCTATTCTTCTGAAACTTAAGGAAACTTCTAATAGTAAAAATATGTGTGTCAGAAATGTGACTTAGAGCTTCAGTCATCTCAGTATAAAAGATAAGGCATTTCATAATCTTTCCTGAGCATATATTATCTAGCTTCACCTGCCACCTCTTCTCTCACCCTAAACTTTATTCCCCAGGCTCTAAGCCACACAGAACTACTTTTGGCTGCCTAAATACACCATGCTTTCTCATACTTGCCTGAGTCTTTAGACATGTTTTAACTTCTCTTTAGGATTCCCTTCCTCTCTTCCACTAACCCACTTTACCTGGCAAATTTCTTCCCATCTGTTAACCTCCAACTCAAATGCCATCTCCTCCTAAACAATGCTGCCCCAGCCAACAGTAGTGCCTTCCCCTCTCTGTATTTCCCAGAACTCTTAGTCATACCCTCTCCTGGCCCACTGAATGCTGATTACTTACTTCTCTACCTTGCCCCAGTTGGTATGAGTTCAACAAAAACAGTCACATGTTTAGCTTTGTACCCAAAACACCCGTCACTGTTCCTGGCACACTGTAGGTGCTCATACTCTTTGTTAGGTTGAAATTGATCTGGATAAAACTAAATTCTAGGAACTTTGAGAATCACCATTCAGCATATGAGGGACAAATCCTGCATAGTTATGATTTCCCAAATCTGAAACCATATGGAGCTTCAAACCAGTGACCTCTCTGAAATACAAAGCGTTGCTAATTTTTATATTATGAATAAATATGATTAATATTTTCAAATCTTTTTCAATTAACAATTATATTTTATTCCCATAAAACTAACCAATATTTACTAATAATTAGGGTTACAAAAACAAAACAAAACCAAACTCAGCAAAATACAAAAACAAAAGTTTTAAATCAAAAAGAAAATCTGACAATAATATAGTAGAACCATTTTGTTGTTGTTGTTCAGACTGGGACATTGTGATCCAGGGAACTGAAATTGCTTTTGGAATATCCCATGGCTAAGCTACTTGTCTTTATTATTTTTGTTCACTTAGCAACCCTGTGAAATCAGAACAGGTTTGGCTTTTCCTTTAGCCACCGAGACACAGCATTAACCGACCTATGGTAGAAGTGTAACATGAATTCTGCCCGATGCCACCTAAGTCAGGGCTCTCTCCACTGCAATAGCACAAACACAGTAGGGTCTATTGTGTAACAAGTATTTAAGTGTACAAACAAGTTTGTCTTACTCACCCTTCTATCCATGCTTGTTGCATGAATGAAGAAACAAAATGACGAGTAAATGTGTAATCACATACATGTGAACCCCTGCCTCTAGTGGCATCTGGATATCAATATATGGACTGTATTTTGATATTTAATATGTGGAAAGATCCCATTTGTTCATTCATTCATTATTCATTCAATAAAATTAATTAATCAAGTGTAAACACCAGACCTTTTCCTCAGCATTGAGGAGAGGTACAAGAAGCCTGTGTGACCGTGTAAGTCATTTGCAAAGCACTGGGTATGCAGATAACTCCGTACTCATCTACAAAAACGGTATCAAATTCCTACTTGTGACCTCTAGAGTGCCTAGCACAGCGACCTGTAAAGAATATAAACTCAACAAGTAAATATTAATTAGTAAATCTGGTGGGCTGTTTGGCTAGTATACGGGAAGTTTTCAAAAGAACTCTAAAGTGAGAGGGAAGAATATGCATCCTCCTCTTCAAACCCACATACCATCTGCATATCTGGGGTCTGGGGCATTCAAAAATGACCGTGACCAGAGCCCCTGCTTCCTCATGGCTTTTGAGAGTGAAATGGTTAGTTCTGGAGTTATTGTCATCTTCCTCCTGTAATAATAAACCTCCTGAGAAGGGGAAATAAATGGTGTTCCAGGCCTCCCCTTTATGCTCAAGTAGATAAAAGTGGCAAGATGACTGGTATGTCTCACCAAGGATTCCTCTGCAGCCATTATTTTCCACTGCACGAAAATTTATTGAATATCTACTATGTGGCAGACACTACAAGTTGCTGGGACATATCATTATGTCAAGGGGTGTCTTTAGTGCATCAAAGAATCTCAAAGCCCTGACTGGGAAAACCACCCTTGAATACTTGGCAGTAGAGAATTCTAATTCGCACATGCATGTATATGTGTCCTGGTAAGTTTAGAGTTAAGCCATATATTTTAAAAAGGGCTGAAAAATGCCTTCTTTCCAACTTCTTGTTAGCCTTAGGGAGTTTCCTAGAATGCTTTACCTTTTTTTCTCCCAGGAAGCAATTTATGCTTTTTGGAGAACTGGACTCATAGGGCATGTATCTGGGTACTGCCGGTGGAGTTAGGAGCAAATGGGTGACAAAGCAGTAAGAGAGGAGACCAGGAACAGAATAAGCTGGTTTTCACTGGATCTTTGTCAGTCAAGCATTGGATATCTGCACTACAACCAAAACCTAAACAACTGTGTTAATCTAGGTTGTAAAGTGACTGCAGAGACCTATGGATATTTGGCTGATGCTCAAGAAAAGGCAGGTCTCTCTCTAGCTCCCTTCATGAAAGTCTGTGGTATTTCTCATTTCACATCACTCCCTAAAGGGAAGCATGTTCACAAAAACACTCAGTATAAGCAGGCTGTTTGCTGGGCCCTGCAGCAGAGTCCTGTCGCAGCTGAGCAAAGGCCTCTGCTGATCCAAGGGTTCCCCCGGCAGTACTGACTGCCAATTTGGCATCTCGCAGTGAAACCCTGTGAGAAGTGTATTTTTGAAAGGAGACCCTTAGCAACATTGTATCGACTGCTGATCACTCCATTTCCTTCATTTGAACCAGTCTCTTTGAGCAACCTGTCTGTGCTCCTCCACGTGAGGACCCAGGGGTGGAAGACCCCGGGTATCACCATGTAGCACACTGACTCATTCTCTTCATCTGCGTTTGCCAGGATTCCACCTGTAAAGACAAGCTGCCTCACGGGCCTGGTTTGTCCTTCACAACTGTACTGAAGAAGCTGCCTGAATGAAGGCGAACTACAGCCGTATAATTAGGAACAGCCATTTGCAGTAAAACATGCAGCTGAGGGCAGAGCTGCAGTTCTCAGGAAGAACTTGCTCAGCCATAAAGCCAGGACCACAAACTACACTGAACCAGGTACAGGTCACCTGGCTAGCCTGTGGTCCTGAGGGGTCTGTCCCTGTCACATCACACTGGGAGGCCAGCCAGAGGCCCTTATGCTTCTGGCTTAAGTTGTTCTCCAGACTACTGCAGTAGCCTTCAAATAATTTTCCTACCTCTTGCCTCTCCAAACTCCTGCACATACTACCGCCAAAGCCAACGTTTTAAACCAGGTCAGATGGTGTCTCTCTTCTGCTCCCTTCAATGACTTGCCATTGAATATAGAACAAGGCCTAATTTCCCCTGCCTGGTTTTCAAGGCCTTCCAAGATTTGGTGGTAAAACCCGTCCCTAATCTTAGCCCTCACTACGTCCCTGCAGATACGAGGCTTTTGTCACACTAGTCATTTTCCCTCCTCTGTGCCTTTGCCCATAAATGTTCCTTCAGCCTAGAGTGCCCCCTAGTACTGTCAGCAGGACTCTCCACCTATAGAAACTAGACAAATCTCTCTATGTCCCATTCAAATGCCTCTTCCTCCATAAAGCCCTGCCTGATCTTCCCTTACCTGATACTTTAGTATCTAGACAAGTCCCTAATCGCTGTTTGTTGAATGGCTAAACACATTTACAAAGAAATGGATGAAGAGTTTTTGATGGGAAACAAATCCCCACCCTTCTTTCCTCAAAGCCCTTGGGGGTGAAACTGCAAGTGTTACTCACAAGAATCCTGCAGCATAGGAATCTGATAGATTGTTTGTGCCTCCAGCTGAAGTGGTCACCACGCCTTCCAGCCAAATCTTCTTTCCTGGGGTGTATGTGTTAACCACCTGTTCACACAACAAAAGCAGACGGAGTTAATGAGATTTTAAAGAGCTGTTCCCAAATAAGAAGGGAACTTCCCTTTAGTAAGTTCCTCTGATCCCCAGCTCCCAGGGGTCATGATCTGTGCTTTTTTCATGTTGGCACACCACATACAGTGAGCTGGCACACACACACAAAAGCATTAGCATTGGTACATGTCTACTCAAAGAAATCATCTTTTTTTTTCCCCTAAGTAAACCCAAGTAACAATGCGACAGGAGAACAAGTACATATTTTAGGACATAAGTTGACTACAACACTCTTCACTGGAAGATGTAGATCACACAATGCTTCCATACTAACAAGTATTGAGAAGCAAATTTTCTTAATTCTCTGTAGGGCACACCTATGGACGAGTGCACTGTCCATGCATCAGCAGTTGCGAATCTTAAGAGAGGGCAGAGATCAACGTTTGGGAGAGGTATTTTATAATTACCAAGGCATGTATGTATATTGCAACCACATTCTGAAAATAACTGCATTAAGTGTAAAAAGAAAAGTTACTGACACACAGGTGATAGATCCTCCACAGGGAGCAACCTTCCATGCAGAGACAAAGCCTCTTGTCAAAAGGTGACCCTCTGAAGTTTTGAAACGACCCAGTCTCTGATCCACAAGTTAAAAACTGGCCAGACTATCCATATCTGGGCTCAGATCCTCTGGAAAGCAATCTGGCAGTACTTAGGGATAATGTTGTGTGCTGGGTAACCTCTGAAAGCAGAGCCTGAGACAAAGGCTTGTCTGTGGGTAGGTCATTTGGGAAGTAATAACAGGGAGAAGGAATGAGGAACTGGGAGACTGAAAAAGGGAAGAAGAGAAAAACAGTACAAGAATGAGTTTTCAAGTTGGCAACCACTGCTGGCAACTTGAACGCAATTCAACAAGGATCTTGGTAAGAAAGAGCCTTAAGAACTTTGTCTCAGAACTGCCCCCACTGGGGGAAAGCAGGGAAAGCATTTATCCCTTGGCTCCTATCCTCCAAAAGTCAAGGATAGTCTTGTGACTGTCATCACTCTTTCCTTGTGCAGGCACGAGTGCTGAGCAGGGTCCCTTCATTCCACACTCACCTTAGAGAAGTCCCAGAGCAGGAAATGAGAGGTCCTACGGCACCACATGAGCACCAAGCTGGTTGCTGCCTGTGCCCCCGCCTAGCTCTGGTCTCAGAAGTGATGGCTAGAATAGGAGGTGGGACTGAGAGGATGCCAGTTATGCATAAGAGGATAAAGGCAATAATGCATTTAGGCCCTATGGCCCTTCCTCTCCTAGACATAAAGAACAAAGCAATTTCACCTTCGGTCTCTAAGGATACAAGGACAAGGATGTTCACTATGTCACTGTTTGTGGCAGGTGTCCATTGCTGCAGGAATGAAAAAGTACAATGTGGTCGATACATACCATAAAATATTATGCAGCAGCTAGAGCAAAACATTCCATGTAAATCCAGCAACATGAATAGGCTTTAGAGATTTAATGGTAAGTTTTAAAAAATAGAAACAGAATGAGATTTATGGCACAATATTACTTATGTAATTACTCATTCATACCTAATAACACAAAATAGTATATAAAGATACATCTCTCTTAGGGGCATGTAAATAAAAACACAAGAGAGGCATGTATAAGAGGGAGATGAATGCAAGTGGGGATTAGAGACGAAGGTGAAAATTAAAACAAAAGGATGAACTGATGATAATAGTTTGCTGTAGCTGAGGAACATGATTTTAATTTAATTTTCTGCACCTCAGGTGCAAAAAAAGAGAAAACATACATGGGATGTAACACATATGTCAGAACTTTCCTTTTCCCAAACCTATGGACAGACGTTGGCAAGCAACCATATTCCTCTTTTCATCTCTCCTTAGGTATATCTCCCTGCCCTTTCTCCTCCATCTTCTAGAGACTGTGCATTATTTGAGACTTATTTTAAAATCAGGGTTGGAAAAGCATTTGACCCTTTCAGGAATAAAGTTGTATATATTTTTAAAATTTGAGATATAAGAAAGAACTGTGATCAAGAAAGACCCTGAAAATTAATAGTGGAGGTCAAACTGGACTGTTGTTAAAGATTAAATTAGGATTCCCCCTTTCACCCAGAAAGAGTCACTGAGGACACCACAAGGTGATCCTCTCCCGCTTCTTGTCACTGCTCAGAGTGCCCAACCCAAGGGGAGCTGGAAAAAGTATAAATGAGAAAGCGAGAAAAACACCTTGAATGATCAGAAGACAGAGCCATGTAGTGAAATTAAAGGATTACACTGATGATTTCCCTTAAAATATAGTACTAGAAAAATGTCTGTGCTTTTGATAGACTTGGTGCTTCTTTTAACACTGACTAGAACTGAGTAAATATTAGTGTTTTTCTTTTTTGCCTTTGGCTTCCAGGATATTCACAATTTAACTTCTGCTCAAAGATAGATATTGAAATGAGGCAATTAGAGAAAGCAGGTTTGGTTAAACATAACAGAATAAAACAAAACAAAAAGGTACGTACTATAAGATGATGAACATTGAAATAATTAAGCTAAGTGAAAGAAGCCAGACACAGAAGGTCATATATTATTCCATTTACATAAAATGTCTAGAGTAGACAAATCCACTGGGACAGAAAGTAGATTAATGGTTTTCTAGGGTTGGAGAAAAGGAAGGAGAATGGGGGGAGGATGGGGGTGACTACAAATAGGTATGGGGTTTCTTTGATGGGCAATGAACATGTTCTAAATTAAATACTGGTGATGGTTTCACAATTCTGTGATTATACTTAAAAATCACTGAATTTCACACTTTTAAAGGGTGAATCTTATGATATGTGAATTATACCTCAAAGCTGTGTGTGTGTGTATAGCATTAGCAAAAAGAGAGGTGGACTCTAATAGGCAGATAACTAATGTGGAAAGAGGAATGTGCCCTGGAAATCTGGGGTTCTACTGCATAATAGCTTGAGACTTTGTAATCATCATTAGCTTGGATTTCAATTTCTTCACCAACACGTAAAGCCATAAATTTGGAGTAGATGAAATGTAAATCCTTTCCAAATACAAAATGTTAAAATGTATTAATTTTTTATAGTGTTTATGAAGGTCCTGTTAGCTCCTGTCCCCCAAAGGTCAAGAGTCTCTTTGATTATGGAGCTTAAAATTACATAAACAACAAATATGGGAGGCAAAAAAAGTGAGAGCTAGTCAGAGCTGGTCATCTCAGAAACAAGATCTGCCCTAGAGGTAAACAGTGAGAGTGGTGGAAAAAGCCACAGGAGTAGGTGAAATTACCTAAGGGGAATGTATAAAAACAAGACTAACAAAGGGCTAAGGATGTCCATCCCAAAACATTAAGGCATTATCAAATGGATTTATTCATTCACTCTACAAATATTTATTGAGCACCTGCTATATGCCAAGCAGAGTTCTAGGGGCAGATGGTGAATGAAACAGAGGTATCTACTCTCATTGGCTTATATTTTAGTCAAGGGGGGAGACTGATTATAAACATGTAAACATAATAAATGGTAAGTACTAGGAGGAAAATGAAACAGAGTAATCTGACAGAAAGTGCCTTGGAAGGAGGGGAGGGTTGAGATTTTAGATAGTGGTCAAGGGATGCCCCTCTAGCTCCTTTAAATGAGGACTTGATCCCAGAAAGCGGTTGGATTTATAAATTACTGTGTACACAGGCCTCTGCAAGGACACACATATGGTGTAAATAAAGTTCATCTGAATTCTCTTCTGACTTGCAGGAAGATTTGGAAGGAAACAATCTAAGACTTCTTGTTACTGGTGAGGGAGCATTGATCAGTGGTTAGGGGCATAGACTCTGCCCACAGATTGCCTGTGTTGGAGTCTTGGTTTTATCCTTGACTCACTGTGTGACTTCTTTGTGCCTTAATTCCCTGAACTGTAAAATTAGAATAATAAAAAATCTATTTCAGAGCATTTTCTGATATTAAGTGACCTAATACTTGTAAAACACTTGGAAAGGTGTCTGGCAGATGGTAAGCTCTCAAAGTAAATAAAATGTTACCTATACCATTCTCGTTGTCCAAAGCACATGAGACTGCATTTGGAGCCATCTAACATTAGGATCGGTTGCTTTCTTTTGAATGTGTTTATGCTGGTAGGTAATAGACCAGATGTATGCTAAGTAGAGGGTAAGGTTCATTTAGAATTTAAAATGCACATGGATAATTCATATTGACATAATTAGCATTCAGAGTAGTTCATTTATCCATTCAGCATAGGAGCAAGTCCTGTCCTTCTCTAGAGAAGCCACATGGACAAAAAACATAGGGAGGTAGCGCTTTGATACAAAACCAAGCCAGTTATATGAAATGTTTGGTGAGGGAGAGAGTCCTACAAAGTATCAATGTTAAAGGTTCTGGGAGTAGTTGGCATGAATCAATAAGGATTTTCTGAACATTTACCACTTGAGACATGGAGAGAGGTTTGATGTACTGTGTGTCTACCATGATCAGAGAAGACCATCACAGTGACGTGTTGGGGAGGTTCTGAAGCTGGGTGCTGGTTGGGACTGGACAGGAAAGCAGTATGGGCAGAGGAGAACAGAAAAAAATTAGGAAAAGCAGATGGAACCAGCTGCAAAATTCCCTTAGAAAGTGAAACTCTAAGAAACTAAGGGGTATGTTGTTCAACACTGTGGTTTTGTGAATAAATATGATTCCCCCTGTGCTGGAAGACAGAAAATGGGAAGACTGGAAAGATCAAGGGTACAGTTCTTGGTGAGAAATGATGTGCCAATGAAGGTTATTTTAGGAACATATTGTCCGGGGAGGGAGAAGTACAAGTGCTGAGATTACTGAAGTGAGGGGAGAGGCGAGGTGAGTGGTTGGCTCCCTTTCAGCAGTTCATTTGCCCCCAGTAGACTTCAGCCCTTGGACCTATGTGGACAAGGGAGCTTTGAGGCACCCACAGAAGAGCTCAGCAAGTTGCCAGTGGCTGCTCAGAATCCTTCGGCC